TTCAAATGAAATGAATCCTTATTATATGTGTTCATAAGGAGTCTATTTCTGTGTACATATACAAATTGTATAATGTATTGGTTTGAACTTGTGTATGCAAACATGCTTACATAGAATATGCACATGGAATTAATATATAAGCAATAGAACCAGTATAAACTAATACATGCCACTTAATGATGATGAAAGTAAATCAATATAGTAACGGAATATTTTAAAATTTATAAAAGATAAAGATATTAGTTCCCAAAGTACCACTGATACACAGTATCCAATTTTATGGACCTATAACAGATAATAGGAAGGTTTCTTTTTCTGTTCTTACTGATACACAATCAACAGACAATGGATAATTAAAGTATATTGATTGTGCAGTAATTTCCAATTTCTTCATGCAAATCATGACGCATGTAAATTAGGAACCTCCACTGAATTTTCAATACCTAATGTTTAAAATGAATTTTTAAAAATGAAAAAGCATTCTTGAAGCTTTCATTTTAGCTTTAATTAAAAGCTAAATAATTAAATTTACTATTTCCAGTAAGCAAAATACTCTTGTGTATTTCAAGTAGAAATTATATTGATTGGAATCTCAACTTTTTGGTCACTTTCCCAAAATCGGCCATTTTTGACACATTTGTAAACAAAAGTTAATTCTCAGTTTTAAAAATCTTCCAAAAATAAAATATATATTTCTGAAACTTTATTTGAGACATATTAGCTGATTTAAAGCATAATTAATCTGATTTGGAAAAAATATTATTTACTTTAAGTTTAAAATAACAGAGAAATGGATTTTTCAAAATAAATGGTAGCGGTGATTACATGCTTATCATCATCGCTTGTCACTTATAGATCACTTGACAAGTGATGATAAAATCTGTCGACACTTTTACGGTTGTTTTATGGAAAATTTATCTGTTAAAACATAATTTAAGAAAATGATGTCTGAGCCCCTTTTTTTTATATAATTTTTAAGTACTCAGTAATCTTAAAAATGTTGGAAAATATTCTCCGTAATCTAACTTTAAGAATGTTGTATTTAAATTTACTATAGTCATCACTCTTATTTTTTGATTATGTTGTGTATGGTTGACTATACTTTCAAATAGGAGTAAGTTATGTAATATTTTATATACATAAAAAATTAAAATTTAAAAAAAATATTGGGTGTAAATGACTTTTATTGAGCTTTTCAATTTTTATTCATAAATATAGTTTTCACTTAATAACAATATCACTTAAATGGATTGAAGTAATGCAGAATTTTAAATGATTTATAATATTATAAATTATCATAATTAAAAGTTAAAAAATATAAACAATTCTTGTAAAAATTCATTATTCATCAAAAATTTTTTTTTCTTAAGACAGTAATGTCCTTAATAAATTTTATTTATAAAAGCAATTAAAAGATTTTCTAATTACATAATGTCATAGTTCTATTGCATTTTTTATTTTAAGACTCAGAGCAGATTTTCGGGAAATGAGTGGTAGTTGGAAAAAAAAAAAATTTAATTTACATTCTCCAAGGGGTCCTGCTTTTAACTAATAAAACAAATTTTGAGATTGCAATTTCTTGAAATTTCATGAAATTAAGTAAGTGGTGGGTAACATATGTAAAAAAAAAGAAAAATTTTAACAAGATTTAAAAGAAAAATAGTGCAAAAACACTAATCATAATTTAATGCTGACTGCTGATGTAAAAAAAAAAAAAAGAAGATTTTTAACCAAAATTTCAAACATGCTAGAAAAGATTAAAAAATTTAATAGAATAATAAAAAAAATCTTTAGTTTTTCCTCTTAATAATAACAAATATTTTGATACTAAAACTTTGTTTTTATTAAGTTTGGGGCCTTTTTTATAATGCTAGGCTGTTTTTCAGTGAGCAAGTGGAGGTACCTAATGTAATTACTTCATGATTTATGATTCAGAGAGCTGATGTGGATATTTTTAAGGGCAGTGTATTTATTTGCAGAAATCTCAAAGAAAAGAGCCATCAGCTTTGGAATTGTTCAAAGAAGACAAAACAAAGAATTCAAGTTAGTATATTAGCCACTTTTGGTTGAAAGATTTTAACTTTTTTCATGGAAATTTAATGCAGTAAGTACACAAAGTGAAAAATTGCATATATTTTTTATCATTAACAATTTAGAATTCAACACACACAAACCCACCCAATAAATATTGTCTTTCAATGTTCAACCTACAGTAAACAGCTCCATGTATACTCTGCCACAATATATGATGACATCATTGCATATAATGTAGGAAGCTATGGAAAGTGAGACTTTGACAACAAACAGTGAGACTTCGAGGACCGATATTTACAGAGACGAGTTTGAGCATGTTGAATATTAAAGGCTTAAATACATGTTCCCAGTCAACCAAGTTGGTGATATTACTTATAATACACTTACACAGAAAATAAAATAATGAAATGACATTTAGCTAGGGAGTAATTCCTTCTCTGAAGCAAAAGATATTTATCTGCTAGTAAAATCTATGTCACTCAAGCAGTATAATTATTAGATTTTACAAACATGTGAACATAGAGAATTGAAGTAAAAAAAAAAAAAAATCTATGATTTTATCACAAAAGCTTCAAGCTTCAGTTTCAACTCAGTATTCTTCTTTCTTTAACCCTTAGCTATTTCTGTGAATGCTTTCCTACATGGCAGTAATTCATATTTATTAAACTAAGGAATAGTTATACCTACAAGTAATCAAGAAATAATGAATCATAAAGAACAGAGAAATTTTGATAAACATATATATATATATATATATATATATATATATATATATATATATATATTTTTGAAAACATACACAGAAGAAATTATATATACACCAAAATGCATTTTATGGATGAACAAGTGAAGTTTTCCATTTAAAGATATATAGTGTGTAGAATAAATAATGAGAAGGAAAGAAAAGGCAACAACACATGCAATGATAAGAGAAAGCACAATGACAATGAGAGAGAGAGAGAGAGGGAGAGAAAGAATAGAAAGGAAAAAAATAAACACACAGCAGCAGCAAGAGTGACAACATAGATTGATAGATACACAGATATAAAGTGGATAGGCTTGGTGCTGTGTGGCCAGAAGTAGTACCTGTCCAAATGCAGCTGCAGGTGTCGCTGCTGCAGGCGGGGCAGCAAGGTTGCCACTGACCTGGTGGGAATGAATTAGTTTCCATAGTTCTCTGCGCACATGGCAGATAGGAAAGCAGGAAACAATGAAGAGAGACAAAAGTGTCAAAATTAGCAGCAAGTCTTGGAAAAGAATCAACACTTTTTAGTCAAGAGAAATATAGAGCAGATCTAACATTTATGCATATTGGAGGGACAAACATTCAACATATAAAAAGCATTACTTGAGCAGAACATGCACAGCTCTCAGAGATTTATCAACTAAGTTGATTTAAGAAATTAGACATTGAAATACTTTAGTTTTCCATGGTTGACCATCTGAAAATATTATTTTCTATTAACCAATTCAGCAATTAATTATATTAAAGGCTGCATACAGAGAGAGAGAGAGAGAGTGAAAGAAGTTAGGTGCAAATATCCAATGAACGTAATGAAAGGTTAGTACTCTGCAGCCATCAGAATTAGTTTAGATAGATTAGAAAAAGATCAATTCAAAATGAGGTGAAACGGGTAGAAAAATAACATGTTTATTTAAGATGCTTTTAATGTATGTAAAATGAATGTTTATGCAATTTAAGAGCCCTGGAAAAAGTTAAACAATTCTCTCCTTTATTAAAATACTGATAAAATTGCATAACATGAATTATTTTTTACTCTTGAATATGTCAGAAAAAAATTTCTTTTCTTTTTTTTTTTTTAAAGGAAGACAAAGGCAAAATCAGATGTTTGAGAAGTGTTTACACTTAGAAGAGTAAAGCACTGGTGTAAGAAGATATTAATTATTACTTTTATTTATAAGTAAAAACCACAAGTTATTCTGAAAAGATGTAACAGTAATATAATTGGTAAGAATGTATATAAAGTTCAAATGTAGAAATAAAAAAAATAGATATTTGCACATAAAGCAGAGAGATTACTTTGTCTTGATAACTAACTGAAATTTATACAGTGAAGACAAAAGATTTGTGGGTTCTTAAAAAATAAAATAACAAATACTGTAAATAACATTAGAAATATTCACATCTACTCACATTATGCAGAATTCTTTACAAATATCAGTAGAGCTTCTTTCTTTTATAGCTATGACTATTAGCACATGAACATGTCAAACTTTGTTTAGGTGTTAAGAAAACAACGTTGGACCCACCACTTTATAAATATTGTCAACTGATAAAAGAGAAATGATTTATGATAATATCCTTGTTTTTTTTATTTGCATCAACATCACAAATAACTATATTTTAATCAGTTCAACTGTTTTTCAATTTTGCATCATTAAATGCAGTTTTCTTACTTAAAGTAAATATTCCTAAATAGTAAACTTTGATAAGTAAAATACAAACAATTCTGTCATATAATGATAGTCATAATCAAGGACTTTTGAAAAATTCTTTTCAGTTTCAAGAACTTTATGATTAGCAACATTAATATTATCATCTAAAACATTTGACCTAGGCTTCCAGAAACTATGGCTAAATTTGAATTTTCCAAGATTGCAAACTTTATTTCAACTCAGAACTTGGAATAGCAAAATATGTTACAGTATACTTGAGTATTTTCCTCAAATATCAGCATGTAGAAACCCATAATTGTTTCTACTATAAATTGTTAATGAATTCAAGGGAATATTTTCTTTGCAGAAAAATCCATAGATTTTAGTATAAAATCCAAACAAAGTTTGCACACAAACATAGGATCACAGAGCAACCCACACACACGCATATACATACTTACACACACACTGTTGCATGCACGCATACAAACAGTAATGAGCAAATATTTTCTTTCAGATGTAGTGCAACAATTCAGTTCTATTGAAGTATGAAACCAATAGATGCTCACCTCTCTCCTGCTTCACCCACAAACTGAGACAATTGGTTCCCATCCAGCTCCTCTGGCTGCTTGCGTTGATAATGGCTCCTGCAGAGAAACAACAATCCCATAACACCTTTATAAACTCTTCACAAGAAATAGGAATTAAACAATCTGAAAACAGATTTACACTCTTATCCATTGAGATAACAATATATATTTTTATATATCAAGAACAATATTGGGGGGGGGGGTGAAATCTATGACAAAGTGAAAAAAAGTTTTCTTGTGGTGCATTTCATCTTTCAGAAATTTATCAGACTAAATTTGTTATGTTGGTGTGATTACACATGCCCACAAACAAGGGATGCTAGGAACTTTTTTTTTTTTATCTAGCTGATTTCATTCAGACTCTTTTCCTTTCCATCAGTTTTGTTAGTAGATATCGCACACCGTAATAATACAGTTTTTTTCCACTTTGTCATACATTTTTTCTCATTGTTATTCATTTTTATTGAATAATTAGAATTTAAAAGTAATTTCTGAATATCTTTATACAACATATTTTGAATCATTTATCATTTGTTGGCTGCTTTAACTATTTTTTCTCCGTGAAGGTTAGGTACTTACAGAGAAATGGAAATAATTATTGCATCATTGCAATGTTCATTAAATCTGCAATTAATAACCAAATTGGCCGCTTGTAAGATTTATAAATTGATCACAGCCTCAGAACCAAGCTGGTGAACTCATTTGTCATATTTTTTTCTTATTTAATTTTATAAAAGAAACAAATACAGCATGTCCAGAATCTAGCCTAGAACTCCAGGATTTAAAAGACTCTGTAGATATCATATGAAAAGCTAATAAACTTTTGAATGGTTAGCATGAATAGATTTTTATTTTGTTATTTTCTTCAGTATAATTACTGAAAATAAAAAATGGAGAGTTAAGATTCTTTTTTTTTTCTTTAAAGAAAAGAAAAAAAAAAGAAGTAAACTTGCAATATTTGTTAATATTGAGGAATATCATACTTTCAAATATTTTCATATATGAGGTTGGATCAATAAGTCTATAGACCAATACAATTATCAGATTGTGTCTGTATGTCTGCATGTTTGCTTGTACAATGACTGAGTGCACATCTTTTTATAAAGAAGAATTGGTGGAGAACTGTAAACAGCAAACTTCAATAAAATCCACACCCTGTTTTTGTCTGAGAGAAGTTTAAAAAATTAATTTAAAAAAAAAATAAAACACATTAATAAAGGATAAAGCATAATAAAAAAACAAATAAAACACAAATAAAGGAAAAAACAAAAAGAATAATAAAAACAAACAACCTAAAATCGAATGACCAGTTACTGAAAATTAGTTCTCAATTGTAAAATACAAAATCCAATAAAACTAAGACATTATTGAATTAGAAAAGCTTTTAATTGCTTTTATGAATAATATATGTTAAGGATAATATTGTCTGAAGCAAAAAAATTTTCCAGTGAAAAATGAATTATTACAAGAATTGTTTTCTTTTTTTTACAATTTTAATTAGAATAATTTATAAAGTTGTTAAATCTTTTAAAATTCAGTTTCAATGTACTGTTATTAAGTAAAACTATTTTTACTAATCATAAATCTAAAAGCTTATTACAATCTGCAAATGACCAGTATATATATAAAAAAAGAATTTTACATTGTTTCTGGATGTTTATACATGCCTTTTTTTATATATACATATGTTCATATCATTATCATTAAATAGTCACATGTTTTAAGAGTTGTTTAAAATTTTCTGAGATAATATAAAAATTAATAATAAATAAAATGCCATAAAATTTCATAAGAGATATACTATTATGAAATGGATTAAGTCCGGCAATTATTTTAATACTGTTTAATTAAAATATGTAGCATTTACTTAAATAAATTATATCTATAAAAATAACATATTAACACAAAATATATTAAAATAAGAGATGCACATAAAAATTATAGTTACCTCTCTTATTTATGAAATTTTATGTTATATTAATTTTTATAATATCTTAGTTATGAAATTTTAAATTTATTTTATTGTTATATAGTATTCTAAATTTTATTATTTTTCCAGAAAGCATCTTCAAATGTAAGGCTATAAAGTTTTTTTTTTTTTTTTTTTTTTAAGCATTTCACCCCAAGCAAGGCGGGAAGCCACTAGGATGCAAGGGGTTACAGAAAATATAGAGCAAGATCAGATAGGAGTGATAGAAGACGGTATGAGGAGAAGGGTAGTGGATAGATCAAGGCAACTGGAGATGTCGATTGGCATTACACTTGAATAGCTGGAGATTATAGCTCTCAGGGAAACTGGAATGGGGAAGGGAGTTCCACAGGCAAGAGGTGCGAGACATGAAGCTATTAGAGTAGAAGAGACGGCTACATTTAGGAGTTTCAACAGGAGTGAGAGCGGGATGCCAGCTTCGTAGGGCGCTTGAACTCATGAAATCTGGGAATCAGTGAATGCAGCTCCTCGGAGCAATTACCATGACAGTACTTAATAATTAATAAAATATTAGCTTACTTAAAATATTTGTTAATTTGTAAAAATTGCCAGGTACTTAAATAAGTTCACTTAAAATTTGTCACTACTGTTTATCCATCCAATGAATTCCCTTGACCTCAGCTGTCAATACCATCTATCAACACCTGACAAATGAGTCACTGTCGCTAAGAAATGCTTTTCTTATTTTCTACTACATATTTTCTGCTAAAAAAGTAAGTATTGTTTGCTTCAAATTAATTTAAGCAAACTTTTCATTTTCTAATTTTACTCAAATAACCTTTAAAAAATGTATATTTTATTTTTACAATATTTTTAAAACAGAAAATTTAACTTTTGTTTACAAATGTCTCAAAATGGAAGACATCATTGATTTTACTGAAAACAAAAAAAAAGTTTATTCCAATCAATATAAATTTGGTTTTGCTTACTGGGTATAGTAAATTTATTCCTTTATATTTGAATTAAAGTTAAAAATAAAGCTTCAAGAACGATTTTTCATTTTTTAAATTAATTTTAAACTATAGGTATGCTATTTTTCAGTAAATTAGTGGAGATCTCTTAAGAGTATAATATACTCGTGAACAAAAAAAAATTAAGAAAGGCCATTTATTCATAAAAATGGCTAACGAGTAAGTTTTGCTATGTCTAAAAACAATACACAAGGCCAGACTTTATCAGTTACTGGACTACAGTTAGAAGAATCCTGTTTCTCTCATAGGCAATATGTTTGTTGTTCACTTGTGGAAAGTAAAACCAATTCATTTGTTTATGTTCCACAAGGAAAGACAAAGAATATTGTCTACCAAGAAGTATTGTAGTTTAAAAACTGTTTAAACATATTTTTGTGTTTGAATAAATGAATTTGAAGTTATAAATTTATTTTTAACTTTTTAAGTCCCGGGCAACACCAGGTAGCTCTGCTAGTTATTAATAAAGAAGTGTTGGTTAAGTGCACTGACAAAGAAGGTTATGCTGAAAAATAAACATTGTCTATGCAAAATAAATGCTTTTTTTGTTCATCATTAGGCTACATGTTTACTGATATTCTATTGCGTATGTGTGTGTGATTTTTTTTGTTAATACATAAAAACTAAGACAAATCTAAAAAGAATTTTATGGAAAAATGACAATCATTTTTGACCAAGTTCCGAAAATCAAGAAAAGTGAAAGTCTCCAACTTTGAGCCTATTTCAACAGGAATGATAGGACAATACTGGTGAAAAGAAAAAAAGACTATGGTGAAAGTGCCACTGATTAATTGCAGTGTTAAGCCCTGAAACAGTTGCAGACAATAAGGAGAAAACTGGGTTAACATTTCCAATAAACAAGGCTACTTGATGTTTTTCTTGCAAGTAAATCCTCCATACCTAATCTAATCTGGGGAGCTGCTTATCTACTTGATCGGAAATTTATCTACTTACCAGATTATAAAGTTTTCTTAGATTACAACAAAAAATGAATTTCATTCAATATGGATTACAAACAAAATCCATAAAGAAAATTAAAAATAAATATATTTTATAAAACAATTTGGAATAGAAATAGGACAACTATAATTGAAAAGAATTTTAAACTTCCAATTAAATACAGAATAAAAAACAAAGCATCCTTAACTGAACTTTAAATCTATTGGGGGGTGAATATATTTCACCATAAACCCAGATTAGATTTCACAATGCAATAGAAAAGTATGTGAGAAAGAAAAGGGGGTTTCGAAAATGAACCAATGTTAGTAATATTGCTAATATGAAGAATAGTGAGGAGGGGAGTGAAGAGAGTTAAATCCGTAAAAAAAATAAAGTAAGGCAATAAATGCAAAATTACAAGAAGAGAACAAATCTCTTGCAGCAAATGTAAAGTAAAAAAAAAATATTCCCTTTGATTGGCCACTTTGATAGAAAAACTTACCTAAACCTTTGTTGAATTATAACAGATGTATTGCGACTCTTCTTCAGCCGCTCTGGTTCCTTGTAGCTACGATATTGGTTCTGCAGTGATACATCTACTTCACCACGTGATTTTTTGTACCGTTTTTGTGCATAATAACTTCGGAACTGACTCTGGATTAATACTGCTGCTTGCGTCATCTTCTTGAAGTATGCATACTAAGGAAAAGATGAGTGTTTGAAATTATACAGACATCAGGAAAGCATGCAGAACTTGGTTTTATTACAATATACATCAAGAACTTTAGTTTAGCACTACCAAAGATACCAGATTTCTCACCATATCAAGATCATCACATGCCCTGTGATTAAGGTTGTAAAGGCACCACATGTACTGCAGCTGTAGCAAGATAGCCTGACGGAGCCCATCCCCCTTCAAAATGGTTTCCTTCTTCTAGGCTGGTTGTCAAACAAGGTTAGAGAGAACTGTCTGCTCTGCTATTAACCCCTAGCTGGAAGGAGAAGAGGTGGATTCATACCTTTCCATAGATATTTGTGCCAAAGAGAATACGATGGCCCTGGTTGGAGTTTGAACTTATCCCACTTTCTGTGCTGATAACCACTATACCTTTTTTTATTTTATTCGAATTAAATAATATGTTAATTAATTATAGAATAGTGTAAAAAATTATTTATCTGAAAAAGTGAAAATGACAAATATATAAATAGATGTGTAACAGCTTCTACTAAGGCATTTGCTGTGAATTTGGGGCCCTGCCAAAAACCTTTCCAATTAGGCCCCACATAGTGAGGAAGAAAGTATTTTTATTTCAAGGAAATCAAAAAAAAGAGGAAAATTTTCTTTTGGCTGGAATCAAAATGCCGTACTTCAGGTTGTCAAAATCAATAATATGTACAGCAACTATCCAATGCAATTTCTTTGAAGGAAGCAATTAGCCAGTTTTAAGTGTTGCAAGTTTCTTAGATAATTTCTTTGGATTTTTGGCATTGACACACAAGTATTGGGATTTACTAAAATAAATATACAACTTATATATATGTAATACTCCATAAAAAAGTATTCTTTAAAAAAATAAAGTCAACTTGAAACTTATAAATTTATGATTGGGTTTGAATGGATTATAAACACCTCTATTTCACACACTGATGCCCCCAAAAGAGATATATATATATATAGGTTTATAAGTAATTAAATTATGATTATAAATCATAATAATGTTAAAATAATTTCATACAAGTGTTATAATTTACTTTTTTCCTAAATATTCCTTGTCAAAATACTTGCGTGTGTGAAAAGAGTAGGGCTCCAATACCTGCAAACACAATTTCCACTGCTTACAGTAACTTATCCAGAAGGAACCCTTAATTAAGCTTCCTGTTCTCTAAAGTTATTATGAGTATATTCTTTTAGTCAATTAGGAGGAATCTAATTCTAACAGATTCTAACTTATCATCCATTTATGACTTTTATAAAAAGAATGAACATTTTCTAAAATTCATTTTAGGAAAAAGTTCATTTCAAGTATATCATTTAACCACTTTCTAAGATCAATGGCTAAAATAGCTTTGAGCAAGTAAAGCCTAAGGGTTTTGGCAAAGTTCATCCTTTTTTGAATATTGTGGATTGGTGATACAGAACCACAAAGAACTGTACCAAATAACAGAAATTGCATCACCTGAGGACTACCAACAGCAGCAACAATTAAAATGAATAACACATGTAATGCAAAGAGAAAATAATGTCATAATCAAAATGTTTCAGACAACTTAAAATAACATGTTAACATTCGGGGCTAAAAAAAAAAAAATGTTAGAAAGGAAACCCCCATACCAGAAAGATAGATAACAGCTACTGAACATGAAATACTTATTTTCTTAAAAAAATTGTTTTAAGAGAAAGATTTTATAAATTTCAACTGAAAACAGTACTTGTTGCTCTGTCAATGAATGTCAAATATTTCCTTGTAGGGAAACAGCTAATATTACCATTACCATTTGTGATGTTTTTTTTGTTTTGTTTTTTAAACAGGAACAAGAAAAGCATGTATAGTGATGATGCTATGATTATAGTCAAAAGAAGATTCTTAAGTTCTTATTCAGTTGGTGGTAACAAAGAATTTCATCATTGTTAGTGATTATCATCATCAATAAGTCATTGTAAATAACTTGAAATGTTATGGTAAGCATTTAAAAAGAGTAAATAAAATCCAAACTAAATGAATTTCCCAAATTATGAACAATTTACAGGAAATCCATGTTTTTTATATTTCTTTGTAGTAGAGAAACTCAGCTAAAGTAAAGGGACAAGACACCTTGATTTTCTAAAAAAAAAACAATTAAAATAATCTAAACAATTCAAAAATATTTTATCATGCAGTTTATAGTGAATGTGATAATTAGCTGATATTAGAATTTTTAGTCTTTCAGATCTGCTATCTTCTCTTGTGGAATATCTAAACAAGCTGCCATTAAAATAGAAAATAAATCTTTTATATATAGTTTTCTGGACATTTTTCATATTTCACAATCCAAAATAGGCTAAACAGGTTCAATATGATTCATATCATGTGGGTGACTTGACCATGAAATTTGTTTATATTCTGTGCTAATAGGAATATATACTTGAAAAACAAGGTGAATAAAATAAGTAGAGGTTTATTGTACAAAACCAGTACAATAACAATAAAGGTAACAGTTATACATAAGTCAATCCAGTAGTGAGTGCTACTAGTAGAAGGTCGGTAGTTCTCATGTAAGTCTGAGTCTTACTCAACAGACCCCAGCTAGTCTCTGTAGTCCATTGACTTACAGATACTTATAGGTAGTTACTATATATAGTGTAGTCACTCATGGGGTGACAGGTTATTCCATTACATCACCTCCCCTTTCCTCTAGAAAATTTAGCTTTCTAATACTTTCTCTTTTTCTGTTCTGGACATAACCACATTATGGGTTTTCTTTTCCTTGTACTTTTTCGAGGTGAATAACATCTCGATTATACGGGCATTGCTGATGTAGGAGATGTATCCATGTGTTCTGGTATGTTAGTGGGTGGTGTTATTTCAAGCATGTCATACAGGACATCCATTGCAGTTTCATCATCATCCTGTTGAATGATTTCAAAGTATCTTGGTCTTAACTGGTTTATGTGCCTTTTGCATGCACATCTTTTTCCTTTCACCCTATAGATTACTCTTCCAATTCTATTTGAAATAATTCCATCCTCACAAAAACATCTTCCACCTCAGTAGTTCCTGAAGAAAACTTTGTCACCAGGCGTATACTTCTTTGCACAGAAATTCTCTTTGTTATGCATTTTCTTTTTTGGACAAGGCAACAATCTATCGAATATTGATTTTATCTTTCTTGCAAACATCAATTCAGCAGTTTAATAATTTTTTCAGACTTGATTTTCTTCTATAGCAAAAAGTTTTAGCCTTTATTAAAAGGTGATGTTTTTGTTGAAATAACATCAGAAGAACATTATGAGAAACCCTTCCTGCATGTATTTTAGCAAACTGATATTCCTCAAACACATTCCAAATGCACTGAATCACTCATACACTAAATGATACACATATCATAACTGAAATCACATTAATAATAATCTATGCAGATTGACTGTTTAAAAATTGAGCAAATGTAGACTTATCTGAAAAGATAACACAGAGCCAAAACTCCTCATCTCATTGCTTTCTATGCTGAATGTTGAAGTGGCTTTTCTCTGGCTGCTCTACTTTAATATTTTTAGGCAGGCCTAGACATAAATCCATTGCCTGTTTTGTTTTCAAATTTCTGTCTTATTATGTGAAGACAGCTTTCTGATGGAATGAGTTGAGCTGAACAAGATAATGGTAATGGTGCGATTAACTGTTTCCTTATAAGGAAACATTTAGCATTCATTGATTGAAGAGTATTACTGTCAGATGAAATTTATAAAATCTTTCACTTAAAACAGATTTTCAGGAAAAATAGGTTTATCAAGTTCACGGTTATTGCTCTTTTTACTATTTCCTTCCTGACCTTTTGTTTAAAGATGTCTGGAAAATGAACATCTTGCTATTATCATTATTTTCCCCTTCTAGTTACATGTGATATCCATTTTAGTTATTGCAGCTGTACAATCTACAAGCGACTATTTGATAAAGTTCTTTGTGATTCTGTAGTGCCAGTTCTTGAAGTTTGAAGGATAGTTCTTGCTAAGACCTACAGGCTTCATCTGCTTGAAGCCATTTTTAAGTTTAGACATTTCTGAATGTGTTGGGTGCGATGCATGATATCCATATGAAATTCTAAATCTGACAAGGCTATTAAAGAACACAGCTTGAGTTCTTAGGTTAATGCTGTAGGCTTTTCAGGATCTTGCAGTATTGGACAAAACTAACTCGAGTACAGCTTATTCTATATTCAATTTCCTTATCTTCTATACAAAATATGCTATAACTAATCTTATGTATTTGAAGCATTTAGTATTCACTAAGGTCATATTTCTTTTATTTCATTAGCAAAATGCGCAATTATGTGGTTCACAGTTGAAAGTGGAGTCTCTAATTTCAATGCAGGCTCATTTTTTCTTTCAAACTAACGAATAATATGTCTTCCTTCTAAATTTGGCAATTCCATACTTCTAGAAAATGATGAATTGCAAAGTGATTGCTCATGTTTTTAAAGCAAATTTAATTATTACGTATATCTTTATTAAATATGAAATCTGGATAAAATAATGGTGTTTATTTGTTTATAACTTGTTTATGTACAGAAAGAGACAAACACTGTTTGATAAGTTTTTAGATAACTATATTTAGGAGTCCAATAAAATCATCATATAATAATTCCTCATCTCAAAAATTCAGTCAAAAATATTTGAGACCATAGACAAATGTACTGACGATGCTTTGAAATAAACAAAGATCTTGTTTTTAAGGCTTTCTGTCTTAAATCTTTCAAACTCACCTGCTTGTAACGGCGGTAGTAACTTTGGATGAGGATGGCAGCCTCGATTTCTTTTTGCCTCTGCTGCAGTAACTGCTGCTTGTCTCTGTATTGTCGATACGCATTTTGGATCACTTTAGCCGCTTCGTACAGCTTTCGTTGCTCCTGATCTGAAATTAAAAAAAGAAGGATATTTGCTTCATAGTCAATATTATTTTTTAAGTTGTTTTTTTTTAAACTTTTAACTAATATCAAATTTTGTGATTTTAAATCTTTTAAGCTGGAGATAATTCAATTTTATTTTTACCTTATATTTTTCATTTTCTTTTATTTTAATCATTGCAATGTTTTAATCAGATATTAATCTATAAGGCTAATACTTTAAAACATCTTAAATTTAAAAATTTTTCATTAATAGAAATTTTGACTTGACTATCTGAAGCTAAACATTTTGTATAACACTTGTATGGGAATCTAAATGTTGCCTTTAAAAGGCTTATTATTCGTCAATTTCATTTGGGACAGTGAAGTTACTTCCCCATTTTTACCCTTTTTTCAAATAAACTTAAGTTATAATCAAATGAAAAGAACATTTAATCAAATTATATTATCTAGCTTTAGGAATACCTTTTGCCAAAACTAAATAGAAATTTTAAGAATATAGTATATTTGTATTTAATTTTTCAGTTCATAAAATTCTTATTTGAAAGAGAAATATTTCAAATTCATTTGTTCTTTATATTTTTCCATGTAATCAATGAATATATTTTTTTTACAAGTCATTTTATGAAAATCACAACGCAGAATTTTTTTTTTTTTGTGTGTGACGTGTTTTGATTGTTAGTGATGTTTATGTTGATGTAATTACATATGTGCATGAAAGAGATGGGACACTGAAATATTAAATTAATTTTTTTTTCCAAATATGTGTTTGGATATATAGTCTAGCTGATCTCATTTAGTTTTTCTTTCTTTTTATTTAGGTTTTATCACTGTTGTTTTAAATACCTCACATTGTGATAATAGATCTGCCAAGAAAAGTGAAATGTTGAAAGAACCTAGATGTAAATTTACTGTGGATGATTTAACGATTAAAGCACTTTTTATACATTTTCATTTAAATTTAAAATTAGTGTCCCCTATCCTTCATGTGCATGTGTAATAACATCAGCATAAACACCACTTTAGTCCAATGCAGTCTTAAAGGATGAAATACATCACACGAAAATATTTTCTACTTTGTCATAGATTTTCCTAAAATTGTTTCTATATATAAAAATATATATATCATTTACCCACAAATCATTTTATTGTGAATAATATTTTAGTTCATTAAAAGAAAGGTTTCACTTATTTTCCAATCCTGTGCCTGGAGAAATGATATCAAGTACCTGATAATGTTAGCTGTGAGAAGTCCTTCTCCATGTAAGTTGCTGGGGCATTAAAATATTCAGTAAAATCTGCAGTTGTTGGTGGAGGAGAATCTATCTGGAAATATGGACTGTAAGGACTTGGCAGGCAGGTGGAGTCAGGACTTAGGGATGATGCGGGTGTACCTAAGTCATTGTAGCTGAAACAGAATGCATAAGAGAACATTAATAAAGTTACAAACATATTGGAAAAGCAAAGTCAATATTTAACAAAGTCAACTAGATTCTCTTGTTTATCTAAGTTTAGATGGAATTAGAGTTTATAAGAGTAGGTTTTGTTTGTAAAATATATATTTTAATAAAATTTGAGATTTTAATCAAAGTTTAGTCTAGTTTACTACATTTTCCCTTAAAAAGTTTAAAACAATCAGTACATATTAGAAATTTGTACATACACACACACACACATATTCATGTATATATTTAGTGTTTTACACACTTTCCAGCCTCGATAAAGTCTAAAAGTATTGTAGGTGACAAATTATTTTCCGCCCTTCAACCCCTCTCTCACAGGCAGGATGTGGCAAGTCCCTCGCTGCTCTATTGCTACTTTCACAGAATGTGCTCAGATGAACTACATTCCTTGGTCCTACCAAGGCTAACCTTCATGGCAACGACCCACCATGCCATTTACATTGTAGCAACCCCCCCCCGTATTCCCTACATATTCCATCAATGAGAAGTAAGTTCCACTCAAACAGCTTCTACCCATGAACTACTACTTTGTGGAACTGACTCTTAACCTGTTCAAGGCTAGAGTTAACTGTTACCTTCCTCTCCATACAAACTGCCTCGTAACATAACCCTCTTGTGGGCCCTGGGCCTTGTACAGAGTGAAAAAAAAGAAGTGTTCTTTCCAACCAAAATTATCATCTGCTTCTATGACATTATATCTATAACCATGTCTATAGTTTGTTGATTTTCATTGGCTTCAATAATTTATGCTTTTCTTTCTTTTCACAAAGAGAGTAAATATGGTCTTTCCAATCAGCAAATGTAATAGGCAGATTATCAATGTAATATGCAAATTAAGCCTAAATGGAGCCATCTGATTCTGTCAAGTGGCATCCACACATAGCTGTCCTTAGGCCAAGATAATGAATGGTATTAAGTGTGACTTCTAAATATTAATGGCCTTCTTGTGACAGTTGCTACTTCTTTGTCAAATAATAAATAAATAATCATATAAATGGTGATAAGTGTTATTATATCTTCTTGGCTCTCAGACAAGAAAGATATGAAGGATCAAAAAATAAATTGTGAGTGATTCCAACCAATAAAGTTTTTTCTACTGAATATTTTCTATGCATGACAATCAAAATACACAATGTAAATAGCATTATGAAAAATTTATCATGAAATTTAAAAGCATAAACCATTTCATTGTTTAAGTGACAGCAAACCTTTAACAAACATTCTTACAAAAAGTGTCTTTTTAATAAATATATCAGACTGAATAAAAGTTCTGAAGACTAAACGATTGCATTTTGATATACAAGGTTATACAAAAAGAAAGAGCAGATTTTGAAAAATTTAATAAAAACAATTGCTAAGAGGCAGAAACACATTCAACACATTACTGGATAGGAAAAGATTCAAAGTTTATTATTTTAAGGTTGTTCAACTTAAATGCACTCAACATGAGCACCATGTGTTGCACAACAAATATCGAAATGTTATTCCAATTCTTGCCACATGCAAATTATCTGCAAATCTGAAGATAATGACTTTACAGCTTCACTAATTTGATGTATCAAATCTTCAAGAGTAGCAGGCATAAATGGAAGAAACACTCTTTTATATACCCTAACAGATAAAAATTGGATGGGGTATGAGCTGGTGAACTGGGAGGCCACAGATGATGAACAAGATCCTCTTTTCCACAAATTATAATTTAAATTTTAAAAAAATCTGAAAAACAAAACAACAAAAAGAAGCATTTAAAGAAGATTGAAAAAACTTTTATTTTAATAACTTTGAATCTTTCCTTATCTAGTAATGTGCTGAATGTGTTTTTCTCTCTTAGCATTTGTTTCTATTAAATTTTCAAAATATCCTCTTTCTTTTTGAATAACACTGTATAACAATGTTAAAATATCCTCTTTCTTTTTGAATAACACTGTATAACAATGTTAAAATATCCTCTTTCTTTTTGAATAACACTGTATAACAATGTTAAAATATCCTCTTTCTTTTTGAATAACACTGTATAACAATGTTAAAATATCCTCTTTCTTTTTGAATAACACTGTATAACAATGTTAAAATATCCTCTTTCTTTTTGAATAACACTGTATAACAATGTTAAAATATCAATAACACTGTTAAAATAAAATATCCTCTTTTTTTTGAATAACACTGTATAACAATGTTAAAATATCCTCTTTCTTTTGAATAACACTGTATAACAATGTTAAAATATCCTCTTTCTTTTGAATAACACTGTATAACAATGTTAAAATATCCTCTAATAACACTGTATAACAATGTTAAAATATCCTTTTCTTTTTTTAAATAACACTGTATAACAATGTTAAAATATCCTCTTTCTTTTTGAATAACACTGTATAACAATGTTAAAATATCCTCTTTCTTTTTGAATAACACTGTATAACAATGTTAATGCCTATAAAGTGATGTGTTACTATCTGCATTTATTTTTTCTGCATAATCCTAATAAAAACATTATTGAAAATGTTGTGTATTGTTGAAGGTAGAATATCTTTTTATTCAAACTATTTCTTTTCCATTCATATTATACATATCTAAATGGCTACAAAAGCAGATATCAATATTTTCTTTAAGAAATGGTAAAAAAATCAGATATCTATAAATAAATATAGAACTTTGTTCTAATGTTCTAATAGTGAACTTATAATGGTGGCTTTTTTCCACTTGCAAGTTTGGAGAACATAGTTTTATTCAAATATTCACTGACCGGTAATCTTCAAATGAAAGCCCATCACCAAGTGGGGTTGAAATTCCAGAATCTTCTCCATAGGACGATGCAATAGGAGAATTCTGTGATGCTAGGGAGCTATGAGAGCTGCTGCGTTCGCGACACATTTCTTCAGATTCAGCAGTAGAATCCTCCCGTGAGGGTGAGGATTTGATGCGCTCAGGCATGGCATCAATGATCTGTCGCGCAAGTGTGACCATGTGCTTCTTGGCTTCTTCGCTGCCATCTTCACCCACCAGAGTTCGGTTCTCATGCACTTTGTTTAGCTCATCATCTGATGATAACCGTTCCCCATCAACCAAAGGACTGTCACTCGGAGCAGAAGACGGGTCATCTGAAAATGAAACAAAATATTAACTTCTTGTAGAAACTGCTTCAGATGATGATAGTAATAACAATAATAATTCTTTTTCATGATGTTACTAGGTATATCACAAGTATTTTCATTTTTACAGACTCCAAAGCTTATTTCACATTTTCACATAGACATCTAAATATTATCTCTGACTTTATTAAACTTTTAAATTAAATTTTTTTTAATTTAAAATTTTAAACCTTCAAATTTAAACTCTTAAATTTAAATTTTCATTTTTTTCAAACATCCCCTCTCCTTCATGCACATATGTAGTTACATCAATGTAAACACCACTTTAGTCTGATGAAGTCCTAAAGAATGAAAAGCATCACATAAAAAAATTTTTCCTACTTTGTCATAAATTTTCCTAACATTGTTCTGGTATATAAAAAACTACATATAATTTTCTCATATATATATCATTGTTAATAGAATTCAGCTGAACTGTTTGTTTGGATTCTATAATGGTGGATAAAAGCATAAAAGAGATACTGTCAATTTTTAGACATTATTTTAAGCTGGACCTCAAACTCACTGAAGCTATTTGTAGAATTTACAAAGTAGAAGGAAATAAAACCACATCTGACCTTAATGCCTACAAGTGGCTAAAAGTGACTAATGACATATCTCTTAAAATAGAGACCAGAAATAAATATGTTTCAGTTGTTAATTATGATGTGTTAAAAATGTAAGATAGAGGAGAACTGAATGGCTGACACCAACTTTTAGAAGAGTTAAGATTATTGAAAGTAATCAGCATTTTTTTACAACATGTCCCTTCAGGACATAGGTGATCATGGCACTTCACAGATTCCTTTCTTTTATTATCTGTGAATTGTCATAAAATCTTGGCAAATATAGTGGAGTGGTTTCCTGTTGCCTTCTCCAAAGTGTAGAATTCAAATTAATCCTCTTAGACCGACCACCACCCAATTTACTGTTCTATTTAAACTATAGTTGGGGTAGGGGAGAAGAAATAGATTCATGCCTTTGTCAAGTGGCTGGTATTTGAACTTGGCACACTGATTCCGCTTTCTTTGCTGAAAACCTTTATGTTACCTGAACATCCTATGTAATGCATTACACAAACTTAAAATATATAGAGTTGACTAAAGAAACAAAATTATTTTTAACACACCTTAATATTTCCATATATCATTTAATCATTCATTCATTTGTATTGTAAAATTCTTAATTAGTTTTTCTGTACAAATGTAATGACTGAACTCAGAATAAAATCTGTCACTTTCATTAATGATAAATAGTAAATATTTAAAAAACAAAATTAATCTACTAATTCAAAATATGTAAATATATTATTTAACTTTCAAACAATATAAAATTTCGCAAAATACAAGTTGTTTTCAGTTGAAAAGAAGAACAGGAAGTGTCCAATAGTAAAATATTGCAAATTGGTGTTTATATGAATGAATTTTCGATGATGGAAACAATTAGAAGTTTGTCATAATAGGAATCAGAAGTAAGAATTCAAGAAAGTTGGATGATTCCATTGTGAAAAAGGGATTTTGTTGAAGGGACATACAACAATTTTTGACCAGTTCACATTATTTCATTTTGAAATCTAAATTAGATTTTATTAAGTTCAGAAGTATTGTCACATTTTAAAAATGGTCACTTTATGGGTACTTTTTGAATAATTACAGTAAAATAATCATTAATTTTTATGTTCTATTTTATTCTTTTCTTTGCAGATAAGTGAGTAAGCTTTACATCAATTTTACCCTTTTAAAATGGTCTTTTTAGCAATGGAAGCAGCAATAGATATTCACTCTTGAATGAAACTCTTTAAGTGTCCAGAAATGCCAATGATGGTTTGGTCAATTTTGATTGGGACATTTTTCTTTCAAAGATTCCCCTCATTCTAAATGACTAAATTCTTTTAATACTGAGTTTCTGTAAACCATACCTGCAGAAAATTCTAAGAAAACTGCACAAGAATTAGGAAAATAGTTCAATACAAGTTATACTTTAATCATAAAATGCTTTAAAGAACTCAAAAAGAGTGCCTAAACTTGGTCAATGGGTCCTTCATCATCAGAGTGCTTCTCAACTTACTGCTCACCATTGAAGAGTAGACTTACTACCAAACATTTCCTGGGTAGCAAAAAGTGTTTTTTTTTTTTAATAATAATAGCCAACAAAAATGATAATGGTTAACTGGTCAGTAAATAGGAGAATATTCCCCAAACTAGGAGTATACTGATAAAAGTTATCCTCTGTATTTAGTGGGATATGAAGGATGTAATATATCATGAAGGGCTAAAAGAAAACAATGTGGAGGAGTATTATCATCAATTGGAAGCATTGCACAAATATTTATAAAAAGCATACTCATTAAAAGTGTGTTGCAAGACTGCATATTGCCTGAATGAGGAAAAGATTATAGATCTAAATATGGAATTATTGCCTCATCTTCCTTTCTGTTCCAAAACGTGCTCCATCTATCATCTTTTTAGACTACTGCAACATTTGTGTAGATAGAAAACAGTTTATTAATTGGGAAGAGTTTAAAACTGAATTTGTTTGAATCAAAATCTGAAGAATTTTGTTGCTCAAGTGATGAACAATTTGCCAAATAGATAAGCTTATATTAATGATAATGAGGAGAAAATATTATCTCGATTAAATATAAAAATTAAGACCAAAGAAGCATTCATTTCTTTCCCACCTTCAAATGTAACAGAACTTTCTTTCCAAACTAATAAAAAACAAGTGAAAGACTGTTCATATTTCCATCAGTTGTTGCCAAAGAAATCTATGATATTTTGAGTGCAAATAGCAAGACAAAATTAATATATTGACAGACTTATTCACACACTCATGGTTTATGCATTGATAAGGACAAGAATAGAGAATTATGCTTTGTTTATACACTACAGCAGATGGACATAATTATAGAGAAAATATTGCAGGGAATAGTATGTGTATGGCATGTATAAAGTGGAAATACAATCTATTTTACAGAATAAAAAGTCAAATTAAAAATAAAGACAAAAAGTAGATCCTGTTATGCTTAACAAAGAGTGGGTAAATTCCTAAGGACATTGAAGTGTTCAATAGACTTTCTGTTTTCCAAATTTTCATTCGAGATAAAAAAATACATCAAGAAAATGACAAATGTTGATAAAAGCAAAATGAACAAATAGTGTTGAATATCATTTACATATAAAAATTGGCTTTTCAGGCAGGGCCTTACCAGTATCCATAGAGAAGATGAGATGACTTTCAGAGCTCTGTCTTCTAAGTCTCTGTGACATGGAGTCTGTGGAAGACAGATGATCTGTGCTCAGGGAACTATCCGTGTGCATCAGTATGTCTGGAATATGATGTGGAGAATCCATCACCTGCGACTGACTGCCACATGATGTTGCAGACAGCAAGGGCTGTTGCTGTTGGGCTGATTTGAAAAAACTTGACAAATGTGGCTCGGACATGGATTCGCGCACTGGTTTGGAGAAGCCTTCGGAGGCCAAGCTTCTCTCGACTGATGTACGCTTGGGTGACACAAAATCCACAGAGAAGCGTTTGCTTGACTTCTGTACAGACTGTGACTCACTGCCCAGACACTGTTCACTCATCCTCCGGATAAGTTTGCTGTTTCCTGGATATGGTGGTGGTGGAGGAGGAGGAGGTGGTGGTGGCGGCGGCGGAGAGGAGGCTCCTGTGAAGATACTGTCATTGCCAGAGTCATCAGATGCAGTCGATATGGTTGACGGAAAAGAGCTAGTGGACTGGCTACCAGTCATCATGTTTGAGGCAGTGACTGTAACAATTTTATCAGGGGTAAGGAATGTGTCACTCATGCTGCTTGTGATAGAACCACTAGCCCCAGATGATTCAGTTGTTCCAGACACACTAATCATACGAGGTGTGATGGCCTTGGGGTTGTTGTGAGCCTGCTCCAGCAACTCAATGCTGTTAGCCAGGTTGTGGTGGCCATGATGCCGGGCTGCCATCAAGGGTAGTAACCCATCCTTGTTGCAGACCTTCAGCGGACCCCGGTTCCAATGGTACAGGGTCTGAGCAGCCTCACTATAACCCTTGGCGCAAGCCCACATCTATTGAAAACACAAGCAAAGTCATTATGAGAAAAAAATTAACTGAAAGAAATAACTGAAGACCAATTTAGAAAAGGCACTTCTTAAATTGACTTGTATGCCTATAAACTATAGGGAAAATTCTGGGGGGGGGGAACAATTTCTGTAGATCAGCATTCAAGTCCGTCCTCAAGTCACAGCATTTGTCAGAATCAAAAAATATAGATTTTTTTCTATCATTTTAGAAGTTAGGTTTTGTTCATAATGTAAATACAGTGTTAAATCAATTTTTTTACTTCTTTAAGACTTATCTGTGTTTTTTTTTATTTACAAATGTCAAGTTTGAAATTGATAAATGTCTACTACTGATGTTATCCTTTTTCTTAATTCATAATAGTATGCAGTTATCAATGATATAAGCACAGTTTTAAACTTAACAAATAAAAATAAAGTACAGATAACTCTTTAAGAAGTAAGGAATTGATTTGACACTGTATTTATATTATGAAGAGGAACCTCCTGATGAAAAAAATCAATGTTTTTCAATTCTGACAAATCTTGTGAAAAGAAGGTCTAATGAATGCTAAAATTGTTAAGTAAAAATTCTTACATATTGTTTATAAGTGGAACAGTCAATTTAAGTGATGCCTTAAATGTCATAAAACTCTCAGAATAATGAATAATAAATATGAGTCATTATCTTTTCTTTTTTTTACTCAAGACAAATCATACTTTATATAACCACAGTTATTTCATAATAACTCTTTAAGTGTGTCTAAATATATCAGTGACTATGTCAATAAAATTACTCTCAATAACATTTTTGTAGCTGTTTTCAAAAAGAGGATTTTTCTCTTTCACAAAAAATCTTTTCAAATAAGATATTTATAGTGACAGTTTGTAGAAGGGATTTCAAGAATGGCTACTGGCTTTTCAATTAAGTAAACCTTGCAAAAACAGTATAGAGATTTTTATAACAATTATTTTAATGAAATTAAGAAACAGTACTCTGTTTTGACAATGTCTCTTATATTGTGGAGTTTTTTTAAAATGGTAATTCTATCACAAATACAATAAGCAACTTTATGAATGTTATAAAATTTGAGAAGCTAATTAGTCACTAGAAATGCAATTAATTTACTTTTTGCTTGTTTACATTTTAACTTAGAGTTTTTATGATTCTGTATTTATTCCCACCCACCCCATGGGGGCAGGATGTGACATGAAGTTCTTTTTAATGTGGGGTGCCCATATGCAAACATAAGGGCCAAAGCTGAAAATAGCCCAGTCCCCTTGACAAGTGTCATGCTAGTGTTGGTATCTATCAACCCTGTTTCTTTAGTGCAATGAGAGAGGTTGGGATCTTCAGGACCAGGCATCTCACAAAGCTTTTCAATGAACTCTCTGAGAGGAGAAGAACAAATACTACACTTTGATCCCAGTCTGAAGGCCCAGAAAAGGCTTTATGATCTATTGATATCTTTTAAGAAAATGTTTTGTATATTCAAATAGGTAAATGAAATATCTACACCAAAATCTGTATTGTGGTGTAATGGATACTGGGATGAGAAATCAGAGAACCAAGTTCAAATTCCAGTCAAGTTCATTACAGTCTCTTATGTACAAATACCCTTGGGAAAAGTATGAATCTATCTCTTCCCTCTTCAGCTATGGGTTGAATAGCAGGCCACACTGGGCCCTATAGCCTTGGTTGGCAACTAGTCTACTGCAGAAAGAAATGGCAACCTACTGAGGGAAAATCTTCTATCTAGTCAGTCATGAATCGAAGAAGACATGATTGCCCAAGCATGTATCATGTATGGTATTTAACTGACACCAAAATCTATAGAAATATGTAACACTTTTCTAATTTTGATATTATTATGTATATTATCAAAAGAAATATATTTTACAATCTCCTTTAGAATAAATGTTTTACAGAATTATTTTCACTCAAACATTTCATAAAATGATAAAAAGCATTTTCTTATTAACATTATTTCCTTTTCTTTTCTGTAGATTTCATAATCATCAAAAAATTGTTTAAATGGTTTATATAAATTTGGCAGTTCACTGTTTTCCAAAAGCCTAATTTTTTCTTATTCAGATTATCAAAAAGGTTTATTTATGATATTGAAGGTTCTTAATAATTTGAGATTATTAAATGGATTTTTATCATTTTAGAAGTATTGGATAGGTTACAAATCAAATAGTATCAGCCATATTCCTATTCTACAAACAATTCATTCAAACTAACAAAAATATCCCCATGTCATCTGTGGATTTCTTTAGCATTAATACTGACATTTATTTTTTTTATCTTGCTGGAAAAAATAATAACAATAAAAGTAATAATTATAATTCTTCATCATCAACAAATAATTATTCTTAGTATTTTATATTATAAGGAAAGCTATGATTAAAATATACGATGCTCTATTGGTTGCAACCTATCCAATACTTACAAAATTATATAAATCAGTCTAATGATACCAAGTTAACAACCATTAATAATGATGTATCATTTTAATAAGAAAGGAAATGGGTTATGAAATGTAATGAATATCAAAATCTTATATTCTGCTGAAATGCGTGAAGTAGTTTTATATTATAAATTAAAAAAAAAGCAAACAAAGTAACTCTGCAATTTATAAGCAGAATATGTCTTTAAAAATTTGAATAAGGTCAGTTTGCTGAATGGCATAATTATTGAAATTCATATTTTTAATCTGAAATGATACACTTACTAGTGGAGTGCAAGAATAATCATCAACATTGTGAGCATCAACTTCATATTCTAAGACTAAACTTGGATTTTCAGATCTGAAAAAGAAACAAACATCAAAATTCATGTTGGTAAAATGGAATATGAATCTATTAAAATTAAAAATAGAATAAAAATACTTTTGTTGGTGGATGTTTTTTATACAATTTTTGGGAAAAAACCCTGTTCACTCAGAAATTGATATTGATGAACATTTTGTGTTAAAACTGATCTTATTTTAAATATATTTTTTTCTTGCAATCCATTTTAAAATTTGAAATTTAATCCATTAATACCAGCAGAAACATTCATCATACATATTCGAGTCAGAGAACTGCAATGGCAGAAATTCTGCTCATTCATATTTGAGCTGGAGAACTGCAATGACAGACATTTCTGTCATTCATAGTTGAGTCCAAGAACTGCAATGATGCACTAAAATAAATTTCTATCATTCATATTTGAGCCGAAGAACTGCAATTAAAAAATTGCATCATTCACAGTTGAGCTGGAGAACTGCAATGACAGACATTCTCATCATTCATAGTTGAGCCAGTGAATTGGAATAACACAAATTTCTATCATTTATATTTGAGCCGGAGAACTGCAATGGCAGAATTTCTCATCATCTGCAGTTAGTTGGTTAAGCTGATATATATGTAGTCATAGTGATGCTCATGGTTCACAATGAATGCAATTTAATATTATATACATTTTTCTCATCAATTAAATTAGAACACAATTAGGAAATGGAAAATAAATAATGAAATCACAACTGAATTTTAAGTCAAAATTGAGTCACATTTGAAAACCTCAATCAAGACCTGGAATTAATTTTTTAAGCAATGTCATTTATAACTGAAGTAAAAAGCAAAATAAGAATTGTGTTTTTCAATCTTTACCTCCAATGGATAAGGCTTCTAATAACTTCAGCATAACCAAGGGCACCAGCCAGGTGTAAAAGGGTCATCCCCCCAGGTCCAGCCTTGGGGAAGACATCATTGTTGGCCCAAGGCAGTCGGGAAAGGGTTGTAATGTGCTGCACAAGGCGCCATTCAAAATCATGGCTCTGTTGAGAATTCTGAGACTGGAAGACAAAGAACACCTCCTTATAGAAAGGAGTGAAGAAGGGACAGGTGTTAAAGGATGGATAGTTTTTTGCAGAGTGACAGCTGGATTAAAGGTCAACAACAAATAACACATACCCAGCAACTGTTACTTAAGTATTTATTACAATAGAATAGCAAACAACATAAAATTACATTATTTATATATATATATATATATATATATTTTAATTGAATTTACCCCAGGCAAGGTAGTAAGTACCTACAAGTGGGTACTGGGTGTGAAAGAATTACAAAACAGAAAACATTATGAAGGCACGGAAACAATAGAAGAGTAATCAGGAAGACAGTAGATAATGATTGACATTGCATTTAAATTTTTGAAGATCAAAGTTGGATGGAAAGCATGAAGCCGGAAGAGAGTTCCACAAGCAAGAAATGTGAGAAAAGAAACTGTTGGATTTCATCAAGAAACTCTAAATATATAGCAGGGGCACCAAACCATATGCGACAGTAATATTGCAATATTCAAAGGTTGGGTGAATGGTGGACTTGGTGGACCTATAGATATTTAAGACAGATTCTGGAGGCTGGGGGTGTGTGTGTGTGTGTGTGTATATATATATATATATATATATATATATGGTTGCTGAAAAATTCTCAGTTCATCCAAGTGGTTAAACAAAATTTTAATGTTTGGTCATTTGTGAAGTGGGTTGGGTCAAAAACTTTTCAGCATCCCTTATATATGTACATATTGGTAACAATTGAAGGAAGGCCACAGACAGGGTTTATTTTAACAACTTTTGAGCAATTTTCTCTTGCTTTTCTCCCAAAATATGAATGTTTTGTTCTGGTTTGTATAAAAATTGCTTGTACATATGTGTGCTGGTGCATTCAACCATCATTGATCATTTTTAAGAAAATGAATTGTGATGTTAAAGTTTCAGATTTAAAAAATAACTTAAATGTATTTGTTTTACTCATGCACACACACACATTGAACTCTCGTAAGACACAGAAGTAAAACAAGCTATAACTTTGATTTAATAAATGCCATCCTGATTACAAAAGAACATAATTTATTACATAGAAAATACTTAGAAGGAATCCTGATAAATATTTTACCATCCATGAACACATGTCAAACACACTGTATTATATCACCAACTTTTATAAAATTCCATACATAAAGAATCTAAAATCTGTCAACCTACAACCACAACTGGTATACAGAAACAATTCTTTTCATTCTCACAAAAAACATCCCCCAAACAACATACGGACACTACCAGACAGAAATAAAAATGCCCATTAGATGAACAAATGCACACATACACATTATCAACCAAATTCTGCATAGACCAACTAGAATTGTGATACACAAAAACGCAAGAATTATACACACAAATGCTACCTGACAGGAGACATACACGAGATCTGTATAACCAATGAAAACAACACAAAAAATAGCAAAATTTTCTTTTCTCCTCCAGATTTCACGTTCTGATGATGCTTAAATAAATCTTTATCAATTTAACATGTTTCACTTTTCAGTGTGTGTGTGTGTGTGTATATATACATATATATATATATATATATATATATATATATATATATAAGAAAGAGGGAGAAGAGAAAGATGCCTATGACTAACATAAAACATCCTGAAATTAATATCAGTAAACAAATTAAACTCTACAGCACGGTAATAAAAATAATAGCACAATAATCTTATTCTCTTGCAATCAAATGCATCCAAACTATAAACAAAACAAAGCAGTCATTAAATGCATTATACACCAGTACACATCCAATTAGATGCAATAAAATTAACAATTTATTGAAAAAAAATTAAAACATCTACGCACAACCACTACTCCATCCCACAAGTTTCTCTGCCACCTCACAAATCATTGTGCAATTTGCACCCACATCAATAAACAAATAACACTTGGCAATAAGCTCACCATCAACATAAGAAAAATACTTGCAAGTAACACACATATACATAATATTGTAACTAGAATAAAAAGAAGATTCCGAACATTAAAGAATCAAACATTAAAATCAAAAAATCAAAATTAAACAACATCTCCAATATATTTAAATATATTCAGAAACTGACAACACTTTTATCCAGTCAAGGATCTTATTTGCTGTCACAAGCTGAGTTTTTAAAAAGAATTATTTGAATATAGGCAATATGACAGATCTACATAATAGAAAATTTTGAATATGATAAGAAGTATGGTTGAAAGTCATTGATCATAAACTTTCAGGCAATATGCATATGCATCTAAGCAAAAAAAAAAAAAAAATACTTGTCTGTTATTTTTGATGAAACACACACAGAGATATATGAGTAGGTGCTGAAAATTTTGTAGCTTGACAAAGAAGAATTTTTTTATAAAAATCTAATGTTTGGCCATTAGGTAAAATTTTGGGGAGTGATTTTGGCCAAGAACTTTTCAATACTCGCTTGTATAAATTAACGCTGAAAGCTTTCATCCAATTAATAAAATATTATACAAATAATGAACAAATAAATATATAAAACATAATACGTGTATAAATGTTTTCATGAAATCATACTGTATGAATACAACTAATTTTGTTAGTTTTTTCATTGAAATTTCTGATTGTTTTTTTTTCGGTTTGGAAAATACAAATAGAAAAAAAAAGAGAATTAAATTACTGCAGCCTTTACCAAAATAGATCTGAAACACAGATTGTGGGACTGTTCCACTTTTGAAGATGGTTGGAAAAATATACATTAGAAGACATTTTCATAAAAAGCAAGTTTAAAAAAGAAATCTTTTCCTTCACAACTTTGACTTTCATAGATGTACATCATTGTAATAATCATGCTATAGAAATTGAGAAGCTAAGAAAGTTAGTAACAGTAAGTTTGTTACCAACACAGTGAACCATTTCAGTTTATATGTTATATTCATTCATAAATGCTTATTATTAAATCAATCATTAAAAATAAAGTAGCATTTTTCATTTCTTGCTAAAGGTTTTAATATATAATTTAAAAAAAAGTATTCAACAAAGTACATATTCACTTTAGCATTTCAATTTGAATATATATGTCAGATACAGAAACAATCCTTACTTGTTCACTAGATATTTCCTTTTGAGAAGTGTTTAGTCGCTTCTCCAGCTGTTCCAGACGTTCTAGCACCATTAAACGCAGTTGATCTTCTGCAAAAAATTAAAAGACTTAACTTGCATAAACAAGAAAAATGACAACAATTATCAAAAAAAGAACCCTAACTCCAATGCCAAAAAATATTACAAATTGTTTAAAAAAAGGAGGAACAATAGGTTTGAAGATGGTAAATATTTTATAAAGTATCAATCAATTTTTCTTTTGTGAAAATAAAATATTTATTGGACATTAATAATAATTCCATGCTTTTTTCTCACTAAGACAAAAATCACATTTTTTTTCACTTAAGCATAAATTATAAGAAATAAAAGAATATTTCTGGTATATTTATGAGACTAATTTTACAAATACTTAACTTAAGAGATATAGATTTTTGCTCTGATTTGAAATTAGTTTTCCTTCACATTTTTGGGTAGCAGATTTAGAAGCCTGATTAATTCAAGACATTTTGGCCATAAGTTTTCTGCTCTATGACCATGTCATTATTCCAAGTATTTGTCTCTAAGTTACATGCATACTAGTCTCATTGTTGAAAGATAAATTTCAAGACAGTTTTCTTTCTGTTTAACCAGCATTTGTTCCAAGCCTTTTGGCCATCTGTTTGAATCTCTGTTACTCAACCAAATTCTACAGATAATAAACAACTGATCACCCAAAAGAGATTTTATGAATACAAACTGGTGAGGGAACATATGAGAAATGCCTCAAAATTGAGTTGAGCAATTTGTTTCAAGAGGAACGTAACACTTGACACTTTAAACAATGCTGAAAGAGAAACTATACAGGAAGCAAACCACTGAGTGAACAAGAAAATGCTTTTAGACATACCGAGACAGAAAGAGACAAAAAAAAAAAGAAAAAGAAAGAAAGAAAGCATTCCATTAAAGCAAACTGATATTTAAACATAAAATCATAAATACAAATAATCATAAATCAATGTGAAAAGAGAGAAAATGCAAACAGACTTAAAATGAAAGAGTGCTAAGTAGATTTTGGGTTCTTATTATATCGTCTTTCTAAATGTGTAAAGATGCTAGCAATTAATGTTTAGGCTATTAAGGAAGGCACAAAATATCAAGGACTCATTTCTCTCAATACAACCGACAAAACACGATTGATACAAATATCTTTTATTCTTAAAATTGACAAGATTCAGTAAAATAAAGAGAGAGAGAAAAAAAAAAACTTATATTCCTTCAACAATTGTTTGTAATGGAGATGACAACAACAATAAAAGATTATATGCTCTCTTGAAAACAGACAATTGGAGGAAACTATGAACATTGTCTTAAAAGAAAATATCAACTACTTTATTTCCTCTAGTAAAATATAAGCACTTATATATTTTTAATCAATATGACAAGGGAAGAAAAGGAAAAATAAGAAACAGTATGCCCATACACATAGCTTTTCTGAATTTGAACAAATAGTGGAACATATTTTGAAAACAAAAATCAATTATTCATTGTGCTTCTAAGATAGAATTAAGGAGAGACATTCCGATTCTTACCATCAACAGAAAACCAGTCCTGCTGGCTATGAGAAGTATTTTGTTTTTCCCTGGCCTTGTATTCAAATAGTACAGTTGTAGAGATGATATAATGCTCACTCTGAACATGCAGAGTTACCAGACCAGGAGGTTCATGAGCTGAAAATAATAACAGAAAACAATGATAAATTAATCTTTCTTTCAAAGGAGTTTATATTTCTTAACAAAGAAAACTATGTAAATTGTGCTAAATTCTTTCAATGATTGTAAGATTGCCATGTTGTATTTTTTTAAAAAGGCATCTTTAAAATGTTCTATAGTCTTATACGTTCAAAATGATAGAAAACAAATATCAAGTTGCTCAACAGGCAAAACTTTAAATTCTTGGGAATTATCAGGCTGACTATAAATAGTTACTTCTGTTTAGCATGCTTTAAAAAGTAAGTACCATCTGTGGCATATGAGGCTTGTCTAGAAAGTATTCAACCATTTTGATTTTGTTTTGCAGACTGTGGACAAGATTAAGGAAAATGGGAAAAGGCAGCTGATGGTGATCCAGAATACTTTGAATGGTATTAAAGCACCATTAATTGAAGTTAGTTACTTTTTCTTTCATATTGAATGGCTGCATACTTCCTGAACAGATCACATCGCTTGAATACAATCATGATAATTACTGGAAAGTGGTTATACAATTTGTTATATTTCCAGCAAACCTATTTCAAATATTTAAATACATTTGTATGATAATAAAGGTATATTCTGTACTTTTTCTAGCCATGATACCTGCAATAACAAATGTAAAACCTTATCCCTCACATTGTGAATGGTCTATTAAATTTTAATTACTGAGCTATTTAGATATTTTTAAAATTTCAATCCATGTTTTTTATTGTGTTTTTTCCAAAGTTAATCAAAATATTGATCATCACTTTGATTTCAAATGAAACAAAATGGCAGATTATCTATAATATTGAATGCAACAAATGTTTTCAAATAGACTTTTGTTGAAAAACCTTTTAATCAATATAAATATCTATGAAAGCTTTTAGAAAATTTTTAAAGAAAATATCAAATCAGATGAAAACAATTTTTTTATAACTTCATAGCATTAATAGGAAATGCAAGAATAAAAAAATGGAAAAAATATCTTGATTTATCTCCATTTGCATTGTGGGTATTTTGAAAAACTGGCACATATGATATACACACTGTATCACTTCTGGATATTTACACCCACAATATCAGCTCTAGGGACAAAAGAACAATTTAACTGAATATCTAATTCTTTTAAATCAATAAAATAAGCACCAACTAGCTATTTCTAGAATTTTCATTAGGTAGTGTTTAAGAGTTCATATATAAGACATGTAACCATTTTTAAATGTGAAGAGTTGGTGGTTTTACTAAGACAATCAGACATTCGCTTCACTCAGATTACTGCTGACCTTATTTTTTTACATTGAATTTGGTAGGATCATTGCCTCTACACTGCATCTTCTTGTTGTCTATCAACAGAATCTATATTTTGGCATCTCATAATTCAACAAGGAGATCTTTCAAATGATTGGTCCCTTACTCCCATAGCAATTCTACCGTTCACAATGGTAACCATATTTGCCAGAATTTCACTCAACATTCACAGATAAGATCCAAACTAGATATTTGTAGGGACCCACCAAGCTTTTTGCCAAATATAATTGGCAAGGAGAAAGAGAGAGGGAAAGGAATGAGATGTTTGTTTCTTGCATACAAAAACAAAAACAAAAAAAAACCCCAAAAAGTTGATAAAACATTGTCATCATATTTTTTCTATTGTTTTTTTCAAGGAGAAGCAAATCAATCAAATTGTAGAATTTATAATACTATTTTGTAATTTGAAGAAATCAAATGAAAAAAATTACTATTAGTAGGGTTTTACAGTAGCACTAACCTTTTAATGACAAAACCTATTAACATGAACTTTAAGAGTAAAAGTTTTAGCAACAGAATAGTGGCAAATCTGGAAAAGTTGAGCCTGAAGCAATTCCAATAATTTAGGCTACTGGATTTAAAAGGATCTCTAAATTTGATCTGTGACAGCTTTTAATAGGAGTTTATTTGTAAATTATTTGGCAAATAAGAATTTAAATAACTTTTAAATAAGTTAAACTAATAAGTTAATGCTTTTTGAGCAAAACACTTTCACAATTAATTGTAGAATTAAAACACTAATTTTAAAATATCATATATTGTATAGAATTTCTAATGTGTATGGTCAACCCTTAAATACTTAACCACAACCATAATTTCTTAAACCACATTTCTTTAAAGAAATACAAATGAAGAGATCTCTTATTTTTTCAGTATTTTATTTCTTAGCAATTTCAAAACAATGATTTATTTTCTGAAAGAGAGCAAATATTCAAGAGGAAAGGAAATAAGAAACTCCAGGCTTCCTTTTCTTCATATTCCAATAGCAAACAAAACATTAGATTAGAATTTTGGAAAATCAACATTCAACTATAGTGAATATATATATATATATATATATATATATAAATCATTTTATTCTGTTATTGCCAAGTAACAAACTACTGTATGCAATTTACTGGGGGGGGGGGGTTAAAACAGAATTTTGAAAAAGAGCTGAAGAGAAAAATGAGGATCAAATTATTATTATATAAGCTTTATATTGGCAACAAGAATTCATACAAGTAAGTTTTGTTAAATTCAGCTGACAAGGTCTGTCCTTTTAATTTTTGAACATATTTTTTTTACAAGATAAATAAGATGCTGTACATTCGGATCAAAATTGTGGATAAAATTTCCAAAGTACATGTTTTGTTCAAGTATTTTGAACATCTCTGTCGTTATCAAAAACTGGGTATTTTCAGTATAGTAGACAAGACTTTATTGGTTACATCCTGGCATCTTTTTAAAGTGCTTGGATTCAAATTAGTCCAAAGTCATATCATGTATAAAATGATTGTATAAAGACATACAACATTGGAAAAGAATGTATCAAATATTTGTGTGTATTATTTTGTATGCAGACGAGTTATTTTTATATATACTTCAGGATACTTTTTCCTAAAATATAAGTTATTATAAATATGTATTCATAAAATAATTAAACAGAATAAAAAATATTAATAAAAATATTAATAGTCAAACAAAAGACTTACCTGGTGCAAAACAGCGGAGGACTCCTGGTTGTACAAGAAGAGCAGGTACACTAGTACCCCCAAACACACAACTATAGGAACAGCTTGTAGAAAACCAAGGTCCTGTCACTAGTACTTTAGTACTGCCCTGAGGGGGAAAAGAAAAGAAAATGACTTTATATAAAATTAATTCTCTTTATATGAGGAGGATACTGAAAAGTTTGTAGTCCAATCAAGAACACTTAAAAAAAAAAAAAAAAAAAGAAAAAATTTAAAATCTGATCATTTGTTCAGATTTTGAAAAGTGCATTATGCTAAGAAATTTTCAGCAGCTTGTTGTACTTAATTTATAAGAATTCAAAAGAAAAATTAAAACTTTAAATATGAAAAAGTTGTACCAATTTAGTTGTATTTATGGATTCCCATAAAAATGATAAGAAGGATTGATATACAATTGTCCCTTCTGTTTTCTCTACAAATAGTGAAAATTAGTTGACATGATTAAACTGAGCAAGTAAATATTTCAGTTGTATCTGTTCCCAGTAAGAGACAAGATTCAAACTCCTTATCTGTTAGGAAATATCAAGTCAGTGTTTACCAATATATATTCAGATTAATCTGTATGCTCTCAATCAACACTTGTATCATTTGAGGCTTTAAAGTAATCAATGCACTCCACTTCCAATGGTTAGCAATCAGCAACCTTATGTCCTTCTAGCTCTTGTTTATTTGTTTTCAAATTTTGATTCCACCACAATACTTTGAATGTAGAAGGTGTGAGCCTTGCCATATGGACCAAGTCTACCACTGTTTACAGATTTCCTTCAAAATGGGATATAGATTGCTTTGTTTCTCAAATTTGTCATTCCATCGACTCCCAGTATTTTCCAGAGATATTTCAAGTTAAACACATCTAGTTTCTTTTCCTGGCTGGGTGCCAAGTTTTGCTGTCATACAAGGACAACAAAATTTTAGAACTGTAAACATCTTTCCTGATTATTAGAAAAACTTCTTGCTTTACCAGATTTTCTGCTTAGAGTAGATTTATTATTAAATGATGAAAAATAAATCTATTTTTACTAAAATTGTGCTGTATCTTTTCTATTCCATTTCATAATTTTGGTCAGAATGAAAACATTTAAGAATTTTCTTCCTCAATAAGGAATCCTTACCCTTTTAAAAATAAATCATCCAAACTTTCTAAATTTTTTAATGTCATTGCCCTTTAGGGTTCTCCTGATTCCTTTTCTTTATTATTCTGTAAATTGCTATGATATCTTGGGAAAGATAGTGGAGTGGATTCTCAATGCCATCTCCATAATTTTTAATTCAGAGTAGTCCTTCTTCTAGACTGGCTGCCAATCAAGTTTAGAGAGCCCAATCTACTCTGCTATTTAACCTATATCTGGGGTGAGGGAAAAGAAATGCAGTCCCTTTTTTATTTATGCAAGAGGGATCACAAATGTGGGTCTTTGAACTTGGTTTGCTGATTTCAATTTCTGCAATGATTTCCATTACACTAACTATATATTAGAAAGAGGGAATTAATTTAAAAAAATATATAAAGTCACATGAACCATCAAAGAAACCAGGTTATAAATTCACTACTTTGTAGTCAGTGTACATTCACTGAAAAATATATTTTATGAATGTGTCAACAATTATAAATGAAAAAATGCCATCAAAATGTTGGTTACTATCATTTTATATTGTTTAACATTGAATTGCCAATTTTGTTTTAAGCCTTCATAATTTTACTGAATTGTATTTGTCATTTATAAATAAATTTATTTGGCAAAAATAATTTAATTCTGATAATTTTTATTATATTTTGTAGAAAATATGAAGAGGTTTTCAATTCATGATGTTTTTTTTTTTGTAAATAGTTGTATAAATTTCTGCTGAACTGATAGAAGAACTGAAAGCAACTGTAAATGAATAAATAAGATTTTTGTTTAAAAAATTTGCAAGTAGAGATTTCAATTCAGAAAACCCATGATGAAATCAAAGAAATCTGAATAAATTTCAATACCTTAATCAGTACCATTTCAAAGCATTTAAGTGGCATAAAAAATTCACTTCCATTTGTACTGGATGAGAAACAAAAACTTCACATCTATGAAAACATCTGCATTAATCAAATTCAGTAGCACAAAATTCATTAATTTTTGATAGTATTATCATCTGTAATGAAAAATGACTTCAGGACAATGACTGGATGGGAAGCTGAAACATTAAACTGCATTAGCATCTATGTAATTATATGGTGTGTGTATGTGTGTATTTAGTGGAACAGAAACGGCTTGATACAATATAGCTTTCTTCAAAATGGACAAACAATTAAGACATACAAATATATAGAACAGCTTGAAATGAAATTTAAATTCATATGGTAGCATAAATAAAACTGAAACTCATGTAACAGCATCTCGTTTGGGGAATAGAAAAAGTGTTTTTGTTGCCTTCTTTCATATTGTTAAAATGCTGTTACTTAAGTTGAATTAATTAAAGATGTAGTCTTTACTGTACACTATTCACCTGATCTCTTTCCAATGGATTATCATATCTTATATACAGGCAAGAACTTTTCAAGATGCAATACTTCATCTTTTAGACAGTAATTTATAAAAGATAAATATTCGTTTAGATTTGTATAGATAGAACATTTTATAATATCCCAAATATTTATACATTGATAATTTAATAAAGTCCAGAAATAAATTACTAATTATCCCCCAATTTTAGTACAGATTGTGCAATTGTTGAAAATGGTATGAACTTCTTTTTGAATCATTACAAAGCAAAACTAGTTTGTAGAAAGCAGAGATATTTGGTCATTAAATTTAATAAAAGGATATTTAATCATACACCTTTCTAGATGGCTCTCTAGTGGAAAATTCTTTAGATAACTGGTTCAACTTAGCAAACCTCATCTATCTTTCACTGAAAAACAATGCAATACAGCCTTCTGATCTATAATATATGAATGTTAAGCCGAAGAAATTGAAGCCTTATGCTCAATTATCTGGAATAGATGAAGGCAGCTAATAAATAATGTACTGATGAGAAAGGAAGTCTATTTGAAATCAAAACAAAAAGAAATTCTCATTGTTTATTCTTGTATTCTGGTGTTTCATACAAAGAGTGTGTGACTATAAATCAGCTTTCATAGAAAACAAGCTCTGAGTTCTAATTAGGGTTCCACTTGATAAATTGGGTTTTAAAAAAATAAATTAACCTTGAATGTAAGAACTAAAATCATGTTAAATCAAATATGATCTATTAAACCTATTTCCACATTGTAACTTAATTCTATTATTTTAGATAGATTTGTTGCTTTATATGTTTAAATTTAGTATAATTAAGTAGCAACTGTTCTTCTAAACAAGTCTTATTGAAAGGATAGACATTTTATGTCTATTGAGTTTATTGTCTTTTCTAGATTACAAAGCACCCTATACAAACTTGGGTGATGTAGATGGAGAAAATATCCAAAATCAAGGTTGTGCACAAGCTTTTGACTCCCATCAGTTATTTTCAGGGGTGTGAACAAGTGAAGAAAATCAAAAGTGTTTGAAGTTGCTCATTTTTTTAAAATGTTATTATGCCATGTTTGAAACTGAGGAGAGACCTTGTTGGCGGTCTATACTGTGCTTAAATTCAAAAAGTCTAGGTACCATAGTGAAGAGCTAATTCGAACAATTACCATGAGAGTATTTATAGAAAATGCACTGGGATGTAACCTTACAACAGTGGGAAAGTGACTGAAGCTAAGACATCAAATCAGGACTAATAATATTGCTGATTCATCTTTGGATTTTATCAAGGTGCTCTAGATAAATAGCAAGAGCACTAGACCATATTTGGTAGTAATATTCTAAGCATCGGTGAATGGTAGACTTATAGATATATAGAATAGATTCTGGGGAGAAAAATTGTCTTGCATGACACAATGTGACCAACTTTCTTAGCAGCTGACCATGCAATGGATTCAATATAATCTTTCTCACTTCAGCTGAGAACATTAACCCGAGAAAGCACAATGAGTCACTTTCCTGGAGGTTAGCATCAGCCATGCTGATGGAAGGCAGAGAAGGGTCTTTCAGAGCAAGGAGAGGTGGGTAAGAAATAAATCAAGTAGAGAAGCCTGTAGGTCAGTTTTGCTAGGGAAACAATTAGGGAAATCTACAATTTGAGTAGGAGATTGAGCAATGGAAAAATTTAATGTCTGAATACTGGCAACATGAGTACCTTTAGAATGTTTAAGCCACATGTTGTAGTGCACATTAAAATCACCGAAGACAAAGATTTTCACAGATAGATGAAGAGAGAGTGACTTTTCTATACAGTCAGAGATTATGTCTAATATCCTGCAGTCCTGAGAAGAGGGAGAGTGATAAAGGTAAAAGAGATAGCTAACAGAGTGTAATAATGAAAGACAATAGCACATGAAAGAATTGTCTTGGGACTCAAGAGACAATAACTTTGTTATCAGAAGATTATCCTGGATGTAAGCATCAAGGCCATGCATGTGAATGCTGGAATCTTTTTGGCAAAGGGGAAGATATGTATATTAAAATATAGTGCCAATTTTTAAAAAAATATAACAATGTTATAAAATTTCTCAGCAAACAAGCTTATTTTGCTTACTTACCTCTGTGTAGGACCATTCGGGGCAAAAATCAGTGATTGGGGCCTGTTCAGGACTGGAGTGTGAATCTGTTGGTTGTGCCAGGCTAGAATCCTGCATGATCACATGTTGAGGTGGAGAAGCTGACTGCCCTTGTTGCCCACCCGAGGTGTGATGAGACTGTGTTTGCCCACTCGAATGTGAATGCTGATGATGATGCTGTGGCTGCTGCTGCTGCTGTTCATGTTGTGCAGGATGTTGCTGCTGAGTGCGCTGTGTGTCCAAGCAGCTGGCGCAAGTGATGAAGTCCCGATTGATGTTCTCGAATGTAGAATGATCTGATGAAGAAGGGTTCATATCGGAGCAGAGTTTTTCCAGATCAGGAAGATCCAGGATGTCTAGGCTATCCAGACTGAGATCTGAGTTCTGAAGAGAAGCAGTGGTCAACGTTAGGTTATCACAGTTGGTCAGGTCAGTGGTGGCATCTTTAGAGTCCATTGATGAAGGTCCAAAATCAGATGCTGCCGAAACTGTTGCCTGAAGAGTTTTTTGAACATCTTCATGTGAAAGATGGAAAGCAGGGGAAAATATATTAAGGGGTTCTGTTTTTATGTTAATTTCTTTTGGAACCTCTTTTGAAGTTTGACCCGTTTCAGAAATGTCTGTTGCCATAGGAACTGGTAACATCGCCCTATTAGAAGATGAATGCTGGAGTGTACTTGTTGAGCTGGAGCTACCAGGCTCAACTTTGATCTCTGTTCCCAAGGTGTGTGTTGATGAGAGGGGCTGAATGGGGGAGCTGATAGTCTGGCCTGTAGTGGGCATAGACTGGTTTGTCATGGAGTTGGAAATGATAGAAAGGGGATTTGTGGTCTGTCCACTTACAATGAGTAAGCTGTTGCTGCCTTGGATGTTTGCAAAGTTAAAGATGACCGGAGTGGTGGGAGGAACAACATCTGTAGAGTTGGATGTTGACGAGTTGGTGACAGTGGTGGACGGCGTTGTAGCAATGAGCATACTTTCACTCACCGGTGCTGCTGTTGCTACTGCTGCTGCCGCTGCTGCTGCTGCCGCTGCCCGGTTGGCCCGGTTCCTCTGCAACAGTGACACCAATCTACAAATAAAAAAAACAAACATTTGAACGAATTTTATTCTTTTCATTATCCATAAATTATTGAAGGGTCCAGAAAAAAAAAATTATGTTTCATACTGAACCACATTAAATCAGTCATTCTTTAACCAACTTAAATGAAAGTTGCAAAGATTCTTTTGAGTGTTGGGAGATCATTTAGAAAATAATAGCAAAATTAAAAAAAAACATGTTAAATGTAAAAAATAGTGAAAATATATTTATATAAAAATTTTGGAATATAAAGTGATGCTGAAACTCCGAAACAGAAAAATAGTATTGAATAATGAAGCATTGATGGATATATGAAAACCTTTGAGATATTCCAGTTTGTTTAAATCCAATACTTGTCTACTGAAGTGGTTGGAACCTGATACAAAAAAAATCTTACTCACTCCTGGCATTGCTGTTTGAACAATCTATGTTCTGATATACTTGTGAGACATTTATTTGAAGTCAATGCCTGTGATCAACATAAGAAATATAAAGATTTATTGATTATTGAATTATCGTAAAACTTACTGGATAAAGCAAAATGAAGAAACACTGAAATTGCATTTCTGCCTTCAGTGGTTACCAGACCAAAAGAATTCTGTGTTGAAGGTTGTAGCCAAAGTGTTTGGAAAACAATGTTTTAAATGATCAAAATCCATCACTTTTTAAACATTGTAATCAAGTTGTTCTGGTTTCATTGTGGTTTTAAAAGTACAATCTGACAAAAACTGCAATCTCTTCTTGTATACCTTCAGTGTTTTGCAGCAACAAAATATTTTTACATAAAGACTTTTTTTTTAACATGAGTCTGAGTCTTCTCAAGCAAAGTTCAATAAAAAAGACATTTAAATATCTAGATAATTAAATTTTAGATATAAACAGTGGGGACATAAGAATCAACACTGCATGGTGACTGTCACTGTCCAGCTTCAATGTGATCTTCAGACTAAGTACCATTACCACTATAGTGGACTGTATATATTAAGTCACTGGGAGTTTAAGGGGAGTGCGGGAAGAGCAAACTGATTTTTTCCATTTGTTTTTTTTTTTTTAATTAAATTTTGTAAATAAAAAAAACAAAAAACAAAACAATGACTTTATTTTTTAATCATTTCACCCCAAGCAAGGCAAAAAAAAGCTACTGGGATGCAAAAGCTACTGAGGGTGAAAATAACCTGAGAGGACAATAAAAGAACAGGGTTCAAGGAGACAAAAGATGATGAATGATATTACATTTAAATTTTTAAAGATCATAGTTGGCAGACAAGTAGTAAGCCAGGAGAGAGAGAAGAAACTATTAGCATAGAACTTAAGGTTACAACTAGAAATATCCACAATGAAATTATGAGACCTAGCTGTGAATCTAATACCACACTTAAATTTATGGTCAAGGCACTAAAGAGGAAAGCTTATCAGAACAATTACCATTAAAATATTCATAGAAAAGGCACAGGGAAGTTATGTTGCAACAGTGGGAAAGTGACTGAAGCTAAGATGCTAGGTCAGAATTAATAATGCTAGCGTTTCTTCTTTTGATTTTGTTAAGAATCTCTAAATACATAGCAGAACCCCCAGACCATATGTGGCAGTAATATTGGATGCACAGATGAATGGCAGACTTATAAATGTGCAAAATAGATTCTGGCAATAAAAATTGTCTAGCACAATATAGTGAACTGATTTTTCTAGCAGCAGATTTACCAATTAATTCAATATAATTGTTCCACTTCATATTAGTGGAAAACGTTAGTCTAAGAAGGCACAATAAGTCACTCTCCAGGAGGTTAGCATCAGCCATATTGATGGAAGGCAAAAATGTTCTTTAAGATGATTAATAGAGAGCTGTTTTGTTATGGAGGCATTCAAATTAACAAGCCACTTTTTGATTGAAGGTCAGGCTAGAAATCACCAGTCAATTTGATTTTATCAAAGTTATCAAATTATAAACTTTTGTTTATCAACTGATCTTCTGTCTTATTGTTTACAATTTTTTTATTTGTTTCTGAAGTAAATCTTATTATTTGTTTTTACTTTTCTCTTTTGTCAATTCTAGTGCTAAAAAATTATGACCAAAATGTAAGTGAAAAATGCTTCCATTCACAGAAAGCACCAAACTTTCTGGCAAGACATGGGTCAGCAACTGTTCTCTCTATAATTTTTTTTTTCATTCAGACCCCAGTCTGCTCAAAATCTTGATCACACAGTACTCTCATCCAATGAATAATCAAAAACCATTGCAAATAGTTTTTAACATCTCTTACAATGAGTGTATATATTGAATGAGTAATTTTCTCTCTGAATTATCCTTAATCTTGTCTGCTATTTTAACTTAGAGACGTACAGGTACACAGTCTCAAAACATTGAGAGAAGACACTTTTTGAAAATTGAAAATTTTTTAGATTTCCCAATGATAGTACAGAATAATTAATTGTTAGTGAATAGAAATGTTTCTTTACTTGTAAATATTCTTAAATGGTTCGGCACAATTAAAGCTATCAATTATATTAAAGTTTATCTGAACAGTGATAAATGAAATATAAAATTTCTGGAGTAATAATAAAAAAATATGTTTAGTTTTTGAAGCTGTTTGGTTTTCAGAATTTCAAATAAGAGATTGTGTTCTTGGAACATAAATAGTTTTATATGCATGAGAATTGAGTACCGCCATAATTTCAAAAGGTTTTCACTTGATTTCATACCAAAATCTGACTCAAAACTTAACATAACAATCATAAAAAGAAAGAATATCTGATATAACTCTATCTAGAGTTGATAAAAAAAAACTAATTTCTATTCAGAAGTATTTATTCACTAGCATTTATTCATAATTTAAGCGCTTTTTTCCAAGGTCCAGAAAGATAAACTACTTTAAACAAAATGTTGGAATAAGCTACTTATGTTCATCTCTTGAAAGGAACAATCCAAAAGGAAAGGATCAGCGCTCAGGTTTGTTTTTCTCCTTTCATTATACAAGCTTGTATAGCACATTTGTATATATGGGAATATGTCATATTTGTTTTATTGTAGGTTTACATGTGTGCCAAAAAAAGGAGACTCTCCATAAAAATTCAAATTGTATAGGCAATAAATTGACTTGTTTGGCTTGGAATTCTTCCAACTTCTGCTGCAGACATTTGACAACCACTTATAAAGGCTGCTTTACAAGAATCAAATTATTGCTGAATACAAACCAAGAAATAATATATAACAATAAAAATATTCAGGCATGAAAAGACGGAGGATTAACAGGATGTTCTTTGAAAATATACTTAAATCAACAAATATAAAGAAGCTGCATGAAAAACTACCGTGATTCATAAACAGTGTTGATTACAGAAGCTGATTGCCTTGCAAAAATAATTGCTTTAGAAATGTTTATTTCTTAGTTTTATAATTCCTCTTTCTTTATTCTAGGGAAGACACTCAGTGTGCAAGGGAGATGCATTAAACACAAGTAGGTGAATGAAATATCCAAATAAGAGCCGAGTGCAAGAATAGCTTAAAATCTGGTAATTTTTTGAAGCTTTGACAAAATGTGTCATCTTTCCTCAAGTTCAGAACACTGAACTTATGACTATATCATGTTGAAACACCAGTTACCATATGATCACTGAATTTAAGCAATGTTGAGCCTGGTCAGTATCTAGATGGGTGACTGCTTAGAAATATTAGGTGCTGTAAGCTTGGAAGTGTCAGTTGCGTAATGGATAATGGCTCAGAAATTTTAATCAGAGAGCAGAGTTCCATTTCCAGTCTGTTTTGTTATATTCAATTGCATCAATCTACCTCTTCTCCTTCCAGCTATGGGTTAATTAATATAACTTGCATCACTAAATCATTATTATCTAAAACTAAATCTTACAATCTAAAAATATTTTCTGGCTTTAAGTAACCTGTAAAGGATCGATAAGCTGTAGAAAATGAATCAATCAATCATTTCTAATTATCAATAGCCAATTTCCACCCCCAAAATATTAACTTGAAGTCTTATAAAAATACATTTTCATTTAGTCACGGACAATAAAAAACTGTTTATCAAACAGTTTTGACATACTTTGTTCAGAGAACTGAGTGATTACATTGTAAAATGTCAAAATAACAAAACGCTTATTTGTAATATATCAGCTACATGAGAATCAATGCATATACAAGAAAATGCTGAAAAGTTCTAAGTCTTACCAACTTTTCAAAATCTATTCAAACATCAAAATTTCTGTTAGGATCTCTTCTTGGTGAGGCTGAAAAGTTTCTTGCATTTTTTTTGTACGTTCATGTTATGCTACTTCTAAACTTGGGATTTTATAATTGTATAGCCATAGTTAAAAAATGCAATTTCACAAAAAGTAAACATTTCAAAAAAGTTTCAGCAATGAAAGAAAAAAGAAATTTATTCCATGTCTTTTATTATTTTGCAACAATAGCCAATAATAAAATTACCGAGATAGCTTCTTCTACTGAACTTCTGTCTGAGAAAAAACACAAAAAATGAATTTGTATTTATAGAAGAAAGATATTTCAACAAAAATTTTACCTTGAAACTTAAATGGCTTTTATAAACAAAGTTTTTCTTTAACCTGATGCTTATTAATAAAAGATATACGTTCAATCTTTAGATAGATGTTACAGTGCATTAATAATATAAGTAAATGTGAACTTATAAGTACCAAATTTTCCTCTAGAGATAATTGTAGAGCTAATTGATTTTTATTCATTCCTATATGAAAACATGACTCCTCATTGTCTCTGCTTTCAGCTCAGTGGTTCAGTATATCAGTATCATTCAGCAAATCAGTCTTTGCAAAAATGGTTGTTATTTTAGTTGCATTCCTCTAATGCACTAAAAATTCCAGAATATTGCCTTATTTGTACAACTTAAATATATTAATATTTGTTACAGTTCCCTCCTTTGGACTATCATCCTCATCTTTGTCACCATATTTATTACAACGTTTCAGCTGTTGTACCCTCCAGCCTTCTTCAGGTGGTTGGAATGTCGAACTGAACCTTTTATTTCGCTCACTGGGGTAGACTGTTCTAGTTCCATGTGCCATGTCTAATGGATGTTAGTTAATTCCCCTCTCCAAGTTCTCCACTGCCTTAACCAGGTATTGAACTCACACTCTTTGGATCCTGTCACTGGATCTAACTAATGCCACTGTACCATGTTTCCTTGAGTACCCAAAGAGTGTGAGTTCAATACCTGGTTAAGGCAGTGGAGAACTTGGAGAGGGGAATTAACAGGAGATAACTGATAACTGCCATCAAGAAAATTAGTAACTTAGTTACAAAAAATAAAAAATGATTTTTGTGTACTTAAGTTTTAGATTGACCTTAACATCAAGTTTTTTGTCTAAAATTAATTTCGATTACACTATGATTGATGTCTGTCAATAGACAAATTTAAACTATGTAATTAAAAATTTAACAAAAATAAAGTAACCATTATGGAAATATAGCAATCAAAGAAAATTAGTTAATGATTACTAAATTAGATTTAAATAAATATTACTTTCTTTTAACTTAAAACATATACAAAATTGATTTGTTTACCATGAGGGTGTCTGTTAAAAGGTAAAGTCAGTATTAAGTCATTTATCTTTACCCATATGTGATCAAAACCCATTAAAATTTATGAGCATTTCACAGGAGATCTAAAGTATGGAAGACTCAAATTGCCAAAACCTGATATTATTCATAATTGTTCAAGTATATTCCCAACATTAAAACACTATCATATGATAGGCAACACACACGTATAGAATAAACTAAATAAATCAATAATATAAATAAGACCACTGTATAATCATATCCACAATTTCTTGGTGTAAAGCTAAGATTAGAGCTAGTTACTTACATTTTATATTTAAGTTAACCCCTAGATGAAAAGGGATCATTTTTAAATTAAAAAGTTGATGTGTATAAAAATGTTAGCTAAGCTTTTGTCATTTTTTGTTTTTATATAAAGTACAATTTTTGTGAAAATAAATAAGTTGGGAAATATGTTCAGTGTATCAATCTTGGAATCAACTTTACTTCAATCAGAAAACATCTCAGAAATTTTACAAACACTTACATGCACATCGATTCATATATAAACATTGACATTTATTTTAGTTTGATAAACTTTACACATTTAGATAGGATTTTACAAGCAAATCTTTTTTTATTGAAAATATTGTATAAGTAGTGTAATATTAAAATGATGGCACTGTTATACTCACCTGCCATGATCACTACTGTTGCTGCTGACACTCCCAGTGGTAGGCTCCCCTTTGGGGGAAATTTTACAGCATTTGGAATGCAGGCAGTTTTTATCACAGGAGATATCACATTTGTGATTACGAGACTTGACTCGTTTCTCCTGGTATTCAATCAGATGTTGAACTATTGCTTCAACTGTATCTTGGATCTTAAAAAGAAAGAAAAACAAAAAAATAGATCAAATCAGATTACGAAAACTAATTATTTTTGAAATGGCAGAGAAAAAATCTGATAACAAAATTCAGTTGATTTTTATTGCAGCTTCTGCATAGTAAATGATAATGAAAGATTGCTTTGAGGAAATCATCTTTTATAGTAATCTGAAATAGAGTGAGAATATTCTTATAAAGCATGTGTCCAGATCGATAGAATATAAATTTGTCATAATTAACTGAAGAAACAATGAGGAATGGTAACCAATAGACAATAATGATGATGAGCATTTTGTAAGAATTTAATTAGATTTTTGGAGCAAGTAAGTTTGGTTTTTTTGAAGCCATTTCAGAAAAATAGGCAATAACCAATGGAATAACTGCTTCAATATTATTTTATGCTAACAGTGACACAATGCATTTCAATAAGATAGAATAAAATTAATTGTATAATATATTGAGAAAGTGGATATAAAGTATAATAATATGAAATTTTAAGCTTCATGTAAATATGAATTTAAGTGCAGTACTAGATTGGCAGCAAGGCCTCATCATTTTATACTTGAAATGGCAAGATGTAAGTTCAATGCTAATAGTTTCTTCTATCATAGTGGGTTGGTGCATAATTATCAGGCGTTTTAAAACTATTTATTATGAAAAAAGGAACACAACAATTCAACAATAACATTTTTGAATGATTATTCCCAAGTGTGTGATTATCGACACACATTTTTATAACCTGAAAATAAAATATTTTTATTAAAAAAAAGTAAACAAAACAGCAATTTTTATTAACAAATAACTCATGTACAATAATGCCTGATAATTATGCACCAACCCAATACTTATCAGTCAACTTTGATCATAATAATTGTTTTTCTTTTCTCATATTCTTTCATACTCAGTAACCCCCCCCCTTGTATCTTAGTGGCTTTATTGCCTTGCTTGGGGTGAAATGAAGAAAAAGATAACTTCAAACTGTGCATAAGTTGCTGGCAGGTATTGGGGTTTAATGATTAAATGCAGGTTTGGAAAGGAAGTTAATAGAAAAGTGAGATTCAGATCAAAGGTGAAAATTTTAATCATCTAAATATGGCTATGGGCCAGACACACAACAAAAATTATAACTGTAAATTTAAAAGACCTTTATATTTTCATATTAATTTAATGTTAAACAATTATGGTGATGAAGTTGTAGAAAAATATGTCAATAAAAAATATAGTAATATATAGACAGTTGTATTAAAAAATTAAAAGCAGTGTTATTATTTCATCCACTTAGAGCAGTGTTTCTCAACCAGTGCACCTGGGTGTACTAATGCACCCTAAAAGGTAGCCAGGTGTGCCCCAAGTTAACAGAAAATTTATTAATTATTTTTATATCTAAAAAAAAATTTTATTTTTAAAAAGCTATAGACATCAAACAGATGGCTTCTATGTGTAAGTCAAGGCTTTGTCATTTGATATTTTAAACTGGATAATAAATTCCTTAATCTTTAAGAAGGAGTTGATAATTCTTTCCCTTTTGTCTGCCTCGACAGATTTAAATCAGTCATTATCAGCCCGTCTAAAAAGAAAAATAGCAGATTCTTCATAAATCCATTTAAATGAAAACTCTATCACATAAATATATGATGTAAGGTCTTAAAAATAAATGCTTATTTCAGGAGACTTCTTTATTATTTTCAAATGTCATGACTAATTTTTCTTTATTAAAATTTAAAGTGTGCCCCAGTTATTCTACAAGTCTGCTCTGAATTAAAAATGGTTGAGAAACACTGATTTAGAGCAATGTTGTATCAATTGAACACTTAAGAAATGCTCAACATTTGAATTGTCTATATATTGACATAACAAAGAGAAACTAGCAAAAACAAAAAGAAAGGACATTATTTTCTTGAATACATGTTCATACTTTGTGATTGTTTGCAATCTTCATCAGTGACTTATTAATTACAACAAATATTCTTCCTATATCAAATATTGCATGCTGTTCTTTATGTTAACCCTAATCTGACCTTTCAACAAACTTTCATTAAACATTTTAAAAATGTTAAATAATGATAATAATATATATTTAATCATGTTAAATCAATTGTTTGACAATGTGAAACTAAGTGCATGCTTCAAATGTTTAATGCAATATTCAGTTTTCTTTTTTGGCTTTGTTTTGTTATTTCAGGGGCAAAGATGCCAAGGTTTGCAACAACTGATCCTGAAGTTGATTTCCTGCATAAACTGATGCTGATAGTTTATTGCTGTATAGTCT